AAAAGCTTTGTGCAGCCTTGATATATGTATATAAACTGAAACAGCTGGACTAGTGCATCCTAAATTTAACATCCATTCATTCTTTTAATACAATAAAGTGATTTCTGCAGTTTTTGGGGAGGTCACCTCCTAATAAATGTCCTTACAGAAAATCTAACTGCTCATTTTAAATCTATACTTTGACTTTTAATGGTGCAAAAAACATCAGATCCTTTAAGACTTTTAGTCAAGTAAAATTCCTAAAGGAGACTTTAACTTTTACCTAAGTATTTTTTTATTAAGATACTTGTACTTTTACTCAAGTATCACTTTGTGGTACTTTATAGAACACAGCTGATGGTGCACGAGCGGTGAACCCCTGAGAACAGAGGCTCCTGGTTTTAAACAACRATAAAATCGGAGCCACTGAACAGCTGAAGACAAAACAAGCCAAAGTGCTGACAACATGGTGGAGGAAAGTTTGCTGTTTTATTTCTTCATGAATTCACTTCACACAAAGTCCCAATAAGTCAGTCACTTCATCAGAACTGAGTTTCTGCCATTTGATTCGCTTTGTTGTGCAGGATGAGAACGCTCTAATAGCACCGTGTTTATTTCATTCACATTCAGAAAACAGCCAAGTGGAAAAACAGGAAGACGTTCATACTTCATGCATTTTAGTACTTTATTTTCAGATATCAGTGCAAATGAACACCAAAAAATGAAAACATAAAAAATGAAATATTTCAGATYTGAACATGAAAAAAGAAACATCTTTTTGTGTTTATATATATATATATATATTTATATTTATATATATATTTTGCTGCTACAAATGTATTTGTCAGATGCAGATCTATGATTGTACATCAGTCCCCACAGAGAACCCTGATCCTTCAGAGCTTCATTCATCAGTAACAGAAGAGAGAAAAATCACAAAAATATCCGACGCACATTTATTTTCACACGTTATTTTTCATCAACTTGCTCAACAGTTTGATGCGGTTCAGAATCGAAGCCGACGTCTCGCTCGGTGATTTAAAAACAAACTATTTTAAGACTGGACATGTTCCATCATCATCAGTAGGGTACACAGGTAGTTCCCATGCGTCTGCATGCAACAGGCAGCAGTGAGGAGAGTCACGACACGGCGCAGGAGAGGAGCATTTACCACAGAGAGACATGCAAAGAACAAACCAACCAAAAGGATAGGCATCRTATTCTCTGCCTCTGTATGTACACATGTATGCATATAAGTCATATTTACACATCAGGCCGTTAAAAACTAGGTATTATCATTTTTTTTAAACATTACAAAATAGTCATCTTTCATACTGAAAGTACTATATACACAAATCTTTAATTGTTGTGAAAATGTTGTAATAATGGCAGAGACATTAGAGAAATGTAATAAAAAACCACGAGACTGACTGGATGTGAACTCAAGCAGAAAGAACCCAGCTGGATCTAAAGGACGAGCCGGTGAGCAGGTTCACATCCAGCTGCTTTAAAACCGAGGAATAAACGTCTGTTTCTCTTCATGCGCTTCTTTTCTCTGGTAATGAGCAAGAGACTGCCACAAACAGAAAACGTGTCCGTAAAGCACAACGATTAAAGAAACACGAGTCATTCTCTTCAGATAACAATACTGACTTTATCCATGACATGCCGTTAAAACTGTGGAGAAAGAAAACACCGAGGGCCCACTTTTGATAGTGCAAAAACAAGCTCCACGTGCATCAAACCAATGTTTCTTTAAAGGCACAGCGTGTAGGATTTGTTGTTTTCAGCGACATCTAGTGGTTGAGTGGTTGAATCATCCTC